AACCAATTGGATCTGTCGTTCTGCAAAACTTGGCAGCACCTCGGCCTCAGGAGCCTGGGCACCCAGCCTGGGGTCCTGCTGCTGCACCCAGACACATCTCCTGATGCTTTTCAGTTTAACTTTTGGATCCCACTGTTGTCACTGTGACCCTCTCCAGAACCTGACAACTCTGATTGTTATCGCCCAACCTCTTCTACACTTTAATGAACTGAAGATGAGTTTGTAGACTCTCCCATTGCAATGCTGGTCAGATAAAACAGTTTTCTTCCCTGTCAGGGGAAGGTGAGCAAAGAGGAGAGGAGGAGAAAAGGGAAAACAAACATCAGCATGCACACACACACACACACACACACGTAAGTTTACACACACATGCATACTTGGGTATATAAACACATACTTACGTATATACAGTATACCTAAAATAAGGCTTACAAATATGGGATGCATATATAACTAGAAAATAAAGGTGAAGCCCTGAATCCACAGTCTCATCACTGCTTTGGCTAATGACTCCAAGTTTTGCTCCCTTTTTACTGAAGCTCACTGGTAAATCAAATCCAACAGCTGAGGTATGATTCAGGAGGTTGGTCTCACCCAGAAGAAAGTGCTGGGACAATTCTCTCCGTAGCACCCAATGCCCACCAAGGCAGGCAGGAAGGGCTGTGCCCACATCACTGCTGGGTGATTGCCAGGCAGCAAATGAAACAATATGGAAAAAATCATCATGTACCCTTAGGCACATGCATAGTAGGATCACATTTGAGAGCACTTAAGAGATTTAAGAAATCACTTTTAAAATAGTTTCAGCTTTTTTTTTTTTTCCCATAGAGGGCAAGTGGATTAAAAGAGTGTTTATTTCAAGTTGGTATAGCTAAGGGTCAGCAATTCCATCTATAGATATCCCCTAGGGAAAGAATTCCCTTCTGTAGTTGAAACCAATCTACTGTAAACAGATCAGATTAAACCAAAATGAGACATTCTCAGTGCAGTATTAGACTGTCAGCATATTCCTTCGTAATTCCACAGGTATTTTGGAATAGTACAGACCAACCATAGATAAATAAAAGAAAAAGCAATTCTCAACTATGCATTTGTAACTATTTTCTCATTTCCTCCCAATAATAATCTTCCATAAATGCCATGGAATTACAGCATTTTAGACTTCTTAAAAATAACAAGGGTATTTCTCAGAAATAATACTTGTGGAAGTATTAGCAGCCCATTGTTCCATTCATGTTTAACTTGAAAATGAAAGATTTCAAATTTTAAAACTTGTAAAAGCTTTGGTCTAAAGTTTCTTAATGTCATGCTACCAAGAAAAAAATCTGTACTCCCAAATAAAATTGCTGACATAGTCTTAAATTCCAAAAAGCAGTGAAAAATCCTGAACCTAAACTAAATAATAATTTTTCTAAAAATAAAATTATTATGAGATTACATAGCCTAAGTTATTATTTGTTCTAAAATTTGCAGTATGCTATGATTATTAAACAGAACACAATTTTATTTGAGTGTAAAAGTTTGGGACTTTCCTCATATGACCTTCCTGGCCTACTGCCAAGGCTCAGCTCTTGATGACATTTAATCTGAACATAATCCCTGAAATCTCTGCGCCATTACTGGGTTGCATGGGAATGATTCCCTGTCAACATACACGGAATTGTGCTGTAAATTTTATTTTCAGCTCATGGCTGTTCCCTTTCCTAACCAGCTGATGCAAATTATTTGTTTGAATCAAACTAAATAATCCGTACTTTTTATTTGCTACAGAACCACGAAATACCTAAAATAGAAAACAAGTCCAACACTTCTAGTTCCGGTTGTTTTTCTGCTGATGGCTGCCATATTTTTAAGGGAGCAAACTCCAGAAAACAAATGAGGTTCAGCAGCTGATGAAAAGCCTGGGTAATGAGCTGCAGTGGCACAAACAACCCCGTTGACTCTAAACAGGAGCAAGACCACACTGCAGCAGAGGGTTCCAGCTGAGGGTACTCACACTTGACTGCGGTCTGAAACGAGCAACTGCCTTTACAAAGGAAGAACACACTTAAAAGAGCTTTTTTTTTGTATTCAAAGATGCCTCTGATCTCTGAAGCCAACTGTCGTTTTGTCATAAATGCTGTGAAAAATCACAGTGTCCAAGATTTCCACATCTGTGATTTTTGGCACTTGTGCAAGGGTAGGAACTGAATAACTGATGTCTGAACAACACCAACGAAAATGAGGCAACACAGCAATTTGTCCCACACGAAAGTGTAGAAAAGCCTCAAAATCACTGCAACAAAATAAGTGTGGAACTCTTTGTTTTCTGTGTGCTCAGGATTTCACAAGTATTTTTCCCCTGCATTCCCTGCAGGAAGGAGCTAGGTAGGCAAAGCAGCACTGACTTTAATCTTACTAATGCAGGTCCTAAAAGCAGTGAATCATACAGCACTAAGAGCTCCAGTATGGGATGCAGAGACCTACCCATTGACCTGCATACTTAGTTCAGCAACAATCTAGGTGTCATTACAGTTCATGGGAGCTAACACCAGTCTGCCTACGATTGCTGTGGTCCAATTGCTGCCTGCAGCAAACATTGGCTCTTGTTGAGACTTCTTGTTTACTGGGTGATCCCAACGTTCTCCCTTTCTTATGAAAAGTAAGTAAATAAGATGAACAAGAAAAGTTAATTATTCCCTGAAAAAAAAAAACCCATAAAATTATAACAGGTAAAGTAGTTTTATGGGTTTTTAAGGTATTAATTTTCAGCAGAAGGCTTGCTTTGTTCAGTGGGCTTTTCTCCCTGTACATTAACCCCTTCCTAGTAAGATTTTTCCTACACAGAGCTGACCAAGTTACCAAGAACCATAATTCTGTGGGGAAAGAGAAAGTCCTCTAAAGCACATACAAAGGTTTATTTCATTATCTCTAAGTTACTTCTAATGCTAATCTCTTAATACATGTAAAAAACTATCATATTTCAAAGTATTCCTTCAGGTTGGGGTGCAGAGGACCTCTCAGTTCTTCTCTTAAAGAAAGCGAAACTCCAAGGAAAAATAGGAACTACTTCTCCAGTCCTTTGTTTCCTACAATAGAGTAGGCTTGATCCAATCAAGAACCACTTAAATCAATGGGGAGCTGTTAATGTTTGGTTTAGGCCATCTAAGAGTGAGAAATTGAGAAACATGTTTCCACCTGGCCTTCAGCCAGGCACAATGCCACCACTAATGAACAGCTGCTAAAACGAGACCTCTTGAAAGGGTCACATGTGAGATGAATTAATGAACACAATGCAGATCGCACATCCATCTAAAAGAGGGGCAAAAAAACCACTGCAGTTATGATAAATATGTTGAGGTGTTCTGATGCCAGCCTACTGCCAAAGGAATCCACCGACAGGGAAGGGCAAGGTCTGTTTGCAACGCAGTCCTCCCCTGGGAGATGCATTTCACGGCTCCCAGCCAAAGCCTCCAAAACGCCTCCAGGGTAGCAGTTGGGCTGGAGCTGCCCCATCACGCCCTTCCACTGCAGCCAGATTTGCCTATTTTTGCAGCTGGCACCACCAAAGGCTACAGAAACTTGTAGTCAGCACAATCTCTTCCAAACTGACTTTTCAGTCTCTTCAGCTAATGAATACTGAGAGGAGTGCATAAACTGGCAACAGTAAACAGAGTTTACATAGGAGACCCTGCACCTCTCCCAGCCTTTCTTTTTCCTAACAATTTCTGTGTGACTGTTACCATCATGACTCTCATGGCTCTCCCTAGTCTCAAACCTGCCCACCACATCAGTTTGTAAAAGCATCATTCCATCTAGCACTAACACAACAAAATCCCTTTTGCTCAGCGTTTCTAATCCCCTTGATAACCGTGCTGTACACAGACTGTCATGATGAAGAAACCTACCCTGGTTAGTCCAATGACTCAGCAGTGGTTTCTTCCTTTGCTGCTCCAGTGGCACCAAGAACAGGCTCAAGAGCTTAAATCTTGATGATAGATACAGACTCACTCTGCAGCTAATCCTATCTTTTTCATCACAAAAACCCAAGTCTGTGCAGCCTGTAGCTACTGTTGATGTACATGCTGCAAACTTCACACCACATACTACAGAAATGAAAAAATATGTGCAACATTGAGTGAGGAAGACTATGGTTTTAATAACATCTCAATTTGCAACTAAAAACTCAGATACTAAAAAATGAAGTCAGAAAGAAAGCAATCAAGGTTTATAAAGAATATTTAATATAGAGATGCACCTTATACAAACAATTTTTGGAAAAACACATTCAGCCAAAGCATCAGCAGTGCTCTGGAATTCAATGATCCCTTACACAATAGACAACTGCAGAGGGCTTCACAAACTAGAAATCTTAGAGGGGAAAGTAAACATTCCTTATTTCACGTAAAGTGCAACAAACAAAGCCTGAAGAATGAATTATAGGTGTGAAATTTAAAAAAATCTGTGTGTGCAAGCAAATGTACAATCTGTATGGGCAATCATCATGACCCTGTGTGATAAGCAAATACATACATACCAGAACAGCAATTACTTATCTAACTTGCTGTTGTGAACCTGTGACAACACTGGCTTTGTGAGCTACTGCTGAACCTCTGTGTGCAAATATGCTGCATGGTGAAGACCACTCTCTGGAAAGCTCACTCGGGTTCAGAGAGATTGGTTTTGTTGTGAACTAGCTTGATGTAAAACTTGAGTTGTGCCCCTAACCTGACTTTTATTCAAAGATAAAAGATCTTATCACTATGGAAGTGTTGCTGTAAGCCTGAGCAGATGGCCCACAGGGAGAAGGAGGAGGTGGCTTGATGTTTTTGTGGATGACAGCACCTAGCAATGCAATGAGGAAGCAAAAGTTTGTATTTCAGTATCTTTAGCAAATGCTAAGATCAGGAGAGACTGGTCCTAGTGTATAAAATACATCCGAATCCAGAGGCTTGGGGAGAAAGGCAAAGCCAGTTCCAATCCACATCTTTCCACAGTTTTTCCCTGCAAAACATGGTTACCTCGTCAATAATGCCTGTTGGGAACAGTCTCTCTCCCACGCCATCCTGCCACAGCTGTCATCTGGGAGCGTGCTAGTTGGCATGGACCAAAATCATGTCATGGAATGTGCTAGAAATTAAACAATATGGACAATCATAAGATACAAGTCCTGGCCCTGATTAATTTACCCCTGCAGACAAAGCAGTGGCGAAGCAAAGTGGAAGTGGAATCTTTTAAGCCCATCGCTGCAGTTAAAATACAAACATCAGAAACAGGCTGGCACAGCAGGACCAAAGATTAAGACTCCAAAGTTTAGCCCTGTAGCCACAACATGATCGTGTTAGTGCCATAAGAAAGCAGGAAGCACAAAAAAACTTCTAGACACAAAGTCAAACTTTTCTCTGAAAATAAAGAGGCCAGAAGATGAGTGCTACAATAGATATCAGGGCGCTGGCAAAGGCAAAGTGTGAAATGGATCCTTTCCAGTATTCAGTTTAGGAAGACAAACATTGTTTCACAAATTCACTGTAGCCCTGCTTATTTTCCAAGCTCCTTAACTCATGCCAAAGGGCCTGGACTTTCTGAACATCCTGTTCTGTTTCCTCCACTGCTAGTCTTAGTCCTCAGTACTAAATGTTTTTATTTCAGAGCCCCCTTTTCTATCATTTTATTCCAAACTCCTCCCTCTTTAGCATTTGTATTTTACCTCTGGGTAAGAGTAAAGACAAGCAGATTAATGAGAAGTCTGAACAGCACATTAAGTTACACCTATTTTAAGAGCCCTTCTCAGTAGGGATCCCAAGGCGCCGCATAAAAATAAAACGAACTCAATCACATTTAAAACTAACAAGAAGCGTGCAGATGCAGGCATGCCTCAAAGCATAAAGATTGATGGTTAAATGAGTCCATGATTCCCCAGAGTCTCAGAGCCCCACGAACACAGACTGATTTATCTGTCATTGGCTGGATGCAACAGCAATCTGCTTGGATGTAAAGTTCAGGAATCTTCACGATGGCCTGCCAGCAGGAAAAAATATTCCTGCCTGATAAGGACAGGAAAACAGTTTTAGTCCATGAGCTGGCCATTTTGGGGATTTCCTATCTGACAAAGAGCAAATGCCTCTTCCACCTCTCAAAGATGACAGAACACATTTCTGCTCCTGTCTTTGCTGCTCCAGAGCTGCAAGAAGTCCAAGGTGCAAGTGGTGTCATGGCAATGACTACAGGAGCACAGGCTTGGAAGACAGGAGAGGAACATCACCTCTCACTTCATCTCATCCCAGGTCTGCTGCTCTTGGGACCCCACTAACACCACAAGAAATGGTACCAAACACCTTGACACGTCTGAGGTGCACCCTGCCCATACAGACACATCTCCTGGGTGTTGGCAAATGACACTGGAAAAGGCATTTCTCTTGGTACAAGACGGAAATGCTGCTGCCTCGGAAGTGCCAGGAATCCTTTTGCTGCTGGTGATGTGGGCACAAAACTTGTCCACTTGTCCTACTAGTTTCCTACTTCTTTGCCACAAGTATTCCTATTTTGCTTTCTTCCTCTCCCTTCCCACAGCTGTGTTGCAGGCTGACACCAAAGCATGCAGTCAGAGTTACAAAGAACTAACTATGGTCTTATTTGCCTTAAATAACTGCATTTCTACACTTCATCTGCCATTTTGAGCAGTGTACAGATAATCAGCCAGTCCCTAGAGACACTTACTTCCCTTTCTTGAGACAGTTCAGGAGAAAAGAATCATGTGATGCTCTTGCAGCCTCTTCAAACAAATAGTGTTGGAAGACAACTGTGGCCTGCAAACCCTAACAAACAGTAATGTGGCTTACACTACATTCAACCCTACTTTAATTTATGTATCTATTAACACACGCACAAAGGGGGAAAGGGCTGTAATAGCACAAATTAAAAGAGCACAGGAAGCTGCAGTTTCAACACTGAAGTCAAAGCTAAGGGCCATCAAACTTAAAGCTATTCTTCTTACTTTATGTGCAGCTGAGGTGAGCATCAACATATCAATATTGTAAAGCTAATAAAGTTGGAATTAAAAAAGAAATTGTTATGGCTGCCAACACAGTGACCTTTGTGAAGAGTATGGACTTTAGTAAGTTAGCAAAACCAGGGTTACCATCTTATGAGGGGGACACAGAATAACATCAATGTAAGAAGAACAGGAGGTCCTGAACAATGCTGGAATCACATTTTGAAACTAGGAAAGGAATATGCACATGGAATCAGCCAAACAGACAAAGCTGATGCCATCAGTGAAGAAGGTCTGAATAGACAAGACTTCAGGCTCACATTGCTCAAGTAAGGAACACTTTCCTTACCATATGGCATAGAAATCACTTGGATTCCACAGTGGCCATATAATGGCCAACAGGAAAGCAGAGAAACTATTTTAAGTAAGCATCACTAAAAATAAAATGGGAGATGCAATGAAAGGAGGAAAAAAAAGTGATAAATATAGTATAGAGATTTTTCTATTTATAGTTTTAAAGCTATTTATATTTGAAAGTTTTCATTTAGAGACGCGGAGGGCTTCCACATTCATCAGTCTGGTATTCATTCAACTACACAGTATTTATAGAAATACATAAAGGCCAACAAAAATAATAAGAAAGACGTTAAAATTACCTTATGTCACAATTTGGGGTTATCAGTTCACATTCAGTCACAAAACAAAACATTAATACTACACTGACATGCATTTTGAATGCTCTCCATGAAATCCTGTTCCAGCAACAAGGCGAACCCAGAAAAAAATAGTGCAACAGTTTGACACAGCCTGACACAACTTAACGCTCCCTGGAGACAAGCTCCTTCAGGTGAACTTGCTGTGTGGGCTTCATTTCCCATACAGCTGAACCAGGAAAGCAGGACACAACCTGTGATGGCAGGACCATGGAGAACATATACAACAGCAACCCTCAACAGAGAAACTCTAAAGGGCAGAACTGGAGGAGACTCTGGGGACACCTTAGAGCACCTTCCAGCACTTACAGGGGGCCTACAGGAGATCTGGAGAGGGACTTTTTACAATGACATGCAGTGTAAGCACAAGGGATGGCTTTAAACTGACAGAAGTAGGTTTAGATCAGGAAGAAATTCTTCACTGTGAGGGTGCTGAGACACTGGAACATGTTACCCCGAGAAGCTGTGGAAGCCCCATCCCTGAAACTGTTCAAGGGCAGACTGGATGTGGTTTTGAACAACCTGGCCTAGTGAAAGACCTAACCCAAACCATTCTATGATTCTATAATTCTGTAACTGAAGAGGAAAGGATCCATGAGTGTAGGATGACTGCTGAAAGACTGATGATATGCTGGAGGAGAACTGCCAAATACCCTGCACAGTCCTTTCCAAAAATGTTGCATTTGGCTCTCCAGAAGCTAAGGCATTCAAAAGGAAAGAGCAAATCCCCCTGCTCATCTCTGAAGCTCCTCACAAAACTGACGTTGTGCTTGGTTAAGAACGGGCCACGTTCATGAATCCATTTAGAAAATGCAAGCTGAGATGCATACTGCTTGTAGTAACATGGATGATCTAACTTTAGTTTCAGACTCAATTGACTGCTTTCTGCTAAAATTGATATCTGTTACTAACTTTGTTCATGTGTCAACACTGTTTAGCCTTATTAACCAGCTATCCTCTGTACCAGCCCTTTCCCTGTTGTATTTATCAAGGATCTATTTTATCATGCTCTGGGTTTCATTTTGCTAGCCTGTTCTGCTAAGATAAAGGCTCTCAGCAATGCTTTTCTTGCTGTTCCTGTTTTAGTTTGAATCATTCTTGAATTTAAAATCCAGAACAACATATGAAATTTCATTTTACACATTTTTCTACACTGACTGGAAAGTTTCCATGCCTCCATCACCTTCATATTACACCTATTCCATTCTAGATCCATATTTATCTTATCTGTTTAGGTCTGGAGATTTGCCTTGTTTTTACAGAAGTTTCAGGAACTTTTAAAAATATTTTCCCTGCTTTTAAGTGTTTGGGCTTTTTAGTCCAGCCAACTGAATTACCTACCAACCTCACGACCTTGTTTCCTTAATTTCACAGCCTGTCCTTCTGTGAGACGGAGTGTTATTTATGACCTATGTTTGCTTATGCTTGTATAACATTTAAATGGAAATAAGTAAATGCATGCTTCATACAAACTTACTTTGTATAACTGACTCTTCTACAATGTCATAATGCTCCATGAAAACAAAATCCGAGAGCACATCAACATCTCAGTTCAGCAACATTTTAAAGTAGAAATCATATTCACTGCCTGTCACAGCTTGCATCAAAGACTGTCGATGTCCTAAGTTTCTAAGGGATTGCATCTACTGAGCCATTTACAGCTCTATTTCTACAAGCAAAATAAACATGTCCAAGAATGTTGAGGCCAACTGGCACAGAAAGGTGCCATGCTAATAAAGTCTATCACCCTCCAAAACAGGGTGGTTGCTTTCAAACTGCCTACCGGGAACAATCCCAAGATAACTTTCAAACCTTACCTGGGAATAGTTCAGGTGAGTTCCCGTAAGTACACACCAAAACTAGGCCAGGGACAGTCAACAGTAGATACATTTAATTTCCAAGGCCAAGGACTGCTTCTAGACTCTATTTAATTTACTAGTACAGACATGCCCATTGCATGAAGACCTCTTCAAGCCTGCATGACCTTGAGTCCTTCATACCTCTTGGTACATCTTCATTAGTTTGTCATTCACCCACCTTCCTTCTCAGAGACCAACATAATTCTACTAAAACCACACCAGCCACAGATTTTAGGAGAGTTTTCTCTGGCTGGATATATTAATCTTTGCTTTGGTCCAAAAGGGATTCTGAGATCTTTGTCTCAAGTTTCTTCTCCAGACTGTTCTCAGTTTTGTCTTTCCATGGTGTTTCTTTGGTCTTGAAAAATAAAACACTGCTCTTTCCCCAGATAAACTCTGCTGACAGATGTGCCTTTCCACATAAAGAAAATTAGTTTTCAGACCCACACACTTGCATCTTTCTCATGCCACTAGGAAATCCAGATTTTCATGGGGTTTGGGGATTTTTTCCTTTTTTTCCCTAGTGCTGCCTTATATTTGCTGTCCTCAGTTCTTTAGTCACATCCT